CTAGATAAATCTACCAAACAAAAGCTAAACAAAGAAACTACAGAACTCAATAATACAATCAATAACTTAAGACTTAACTGACAGAAAGAGTATATTATCCATCAACGAGCAAATACACTTTCTTCTCAGCAGCACATGGATCTTCTCTAAAATAGAACATATGTTATGCCACAAAGCAAATCTTCGAAGGAAAGAAAACTTCAGACCAACATCTCTAACGAATATAGATGCAAAACTTCTCAATAAAATTCTGGCAAATCAAATACAAAAATATATCAAAAAGATAGTGCATCATGATGAAGTAGGATTCATCCCAGGAATGAAAGGTTGGTTCACATATGAAAATCAATAAATGTAATTCATCACATCAATAGACTCAAAGATAAAAATCATATGATCATCATTGAGATGATCTATTGAAGATGCTGAGAAAGCATTTGACAAAAAAACAGCATCCCTTCATGTTCAAAACGCTTGAAAAAGTTGGGATAACAGGAACGTAACTCAACATTGTAAAGGCTACCTATGCTAAGCCCCAGGCCAATATCATTCTAAATGGAGAAAAATTTAAAGCACTCCCTCTAAAAACTGGAACAAAACAGGGATGCTCTATCACCACTTCTATTTAACATAGTTATTGAAACTCTAGCCAGAGCAATCAATTAGATGAAAGAAATTAAAGGGATACGGATGAGAAAAGAAGAACTCAAATTATCACTATTTGCAGACAATATGATTCTATATCTAAAAGACCCAAAACATTCCACCAGAAATCTCCTAGGACTAAGAAATGAATTCAGCAAAGTAGATGGATATAAAATCAACACCCATAAATCAAAGGCATTTCTGTACATCAGTGACAAATCTGCTGAAAGTGAAACTAGGAAAACCACCCCATTTACAATAGCCTCAAAAAATAAAATACTTGGAATAAATTTAACAAAAGAGGTGAAAGACCTCTACAATGAAAACTACAACACGCTAAAGAAAGAAATTAAAGAAGATCTTAGAAGATGGAAAGATCTACCTTGTTCTTGGTTAGGCAGAATTAATATTGTCAAAATGACCGTACAAAAGCACTATAGATTCAATGCAATCCCAATCAAAATCCCAATGGCATTCCTTATAGAAACAGAAAAAGCAATTATGAAATTCATCTGGAAAAATAAGAGATCCAGAATAGCCAAAGCAATCCTTAGCAAGAAGAGTGAAGTAGGTGACATCACAATACCAGACCTTAAACTATACTACAGAACAATAGTAACAAAAATGGCATAGTATTGGCACCAAAATAGACCTGTAGACCAATGGTACAGAATAGAGGACACAAGAGTCTAACCCACATAACTTCACTTATCTTATATTAGACAAAGGCACCAAAACCGTACATTAGAGAAAAGATAGCCTCTTCAACAAATGGTGCTGGGAAAACTGGAAATCCACATGTAACAAAATGAATTTAAACCTATATCTCCCACCATGCACAAAACTCAACTCAAAGTAGATCAAGGACCTAGAAATTAAACCAGAGACCTTGCACCTAATGGAAGAAATAGTAGGCCCAAATCTCCATCATGTCGGATTAGGCCCCAATTTCCTTAATAAAATTCCTGTAGCACAAGAATTAAAACCAAGAATAAATAAATGGGATGGATTCAAACTAAAAAGGTTCTTCTCAGCAAAAGAAACAATCAATGATGTGAATAGAGAGCCTACAGAATGGGAACAAATCTTTTCCACAGCACAACAGATACAGCACTAATCCTAGGATATATAAAGCACTCAAAAACCTTAACACCAATAAAACAAATAACCCAAACAGTAAATGGACCAAGAAACTGAACAGACACTTCTCGGAAGATGATATACAATCAATCAACAAACATGAAAAAATGTTCAACATCTCTAGCAATTAGAGAAATGCAAATCAAAACTACTCTAAGATTTCATCTCAAGCCAGTCAGAATGGTAGCTATTAATACAAACAACAATAAGTGTTGGCGAGGATGTTCGGGGAAAAATACACTCATACATTGCTGGTGGGACTGCAAATTGGTGCAGCCAATCAGGAAAGCAGTATGGAGATTCCTTGGAAAACTTGGAATGGGACCACCATTTGACCTGGCTTTCCCACTCCTTGGTTTATACCCAAAGGACTTAAAAACGGCATACTACAGGGACACAGCCACATTAATGTTTATAGCAGCACAATTCACAATAGCTAAATTGTGCAACCAACCTAGTTGCCCTTCAGTAGATGAATGGATAGGGAAACTTTAGTATATATTCACAAAGGAACATTACTCAGCATTAAAAAAATAAAATCATGACATTTGCAGGTAAATGGATGAAGTTGGAGAACATAATGCTAAGCAAAGCAAGCCAATCCCAAAAAACCAAAGGCCAAATGTTTTCTTTGATATAAGGATGAAGATGCATAATGGCGACTGGGCAGGGGGAGCATGGGAGGAATGGAGGAACTTTAGATAGGGCAAAGGGGTAGGAAGGGAAAGGAGGGGGTAAGGAGGTACGAATGATGGTAGAATGAGTTAGAAATGATTACCCTAAGTACATGTATAAGACATGAATGGTGTAAAAATACTTTGTGTACAACCAGTGTCTTGAAAAATTGTGCTCGGTATGTGTAATATGAAATGAATTGTATTCTGCCATCATGTATAACAAATAAAATAAATGTATGGTGTCCGTCTACAACTACAAAAATTTAAAAAAAAATTTCAAAACCCACTGTAACATAGAAAGGTGAAAAGCAAAAGAATGAGCGAGCTATATTGTGCAAAACAGGCTACAGGACAGAGGATGATGCCAGCTATGAAGAATATTTTATAATAGCAAAGGGGATAATTCCTCATAACATAATAATCCTTAATGTGTGTGCAGACAGTAACAAAACTGCTAAATAGATGAAGCCAAAATTGACAGAGCTGAGGACTACGCAAATACAGAGTTAATGATTTCAATATACCTCCCTCAGCAATTTAAAGAACCAGTCGAGAAAAAGCTATTAATATAGAAGACTTGGATTATATGGCTCAATTTGACCTTATTGGTACCTACAGAACATTACAGATGCAGAATACACACAAGGAACAGTTACCAAGACAAAACGTATGTTGGACCATAAAACAGTTTCAACCAATTTTAAAGGATTGAAATCATCTAAGGTATATTTTCAAACCATTCAAAAGTCAAGACACTTCAGGCTAAAGAGTGGTTATGTAAGATAATGGTCATTGTGCCAGCTCAAGATTCATCCTTATCCTCTGTTTTGTGATACTGGAGTTGTAACTTAGAAATATTTTTGCAAAAGAAGTCTGTTTTGTGCTGCTTTAACAGAATACCCAACATGGGGTAATTCATGAAGAACAGAAATGTATTTCTTACAGTTGTGGAGGCCAGGAAGTACAAGGTCAAGGTGCCCACACCTGGCAAGGGTCTTCTTACTGGTCACATACCATGGTAGAAGATAGAAGGGCAAGACAGCACATGCATGAGAGAAGGAGGCCAACCGCATCCTTGTTCACATGACCCCGCTCCTTTAAAAACAGCACTAATCCACTCATGAGGGCAGATCTGATCATCTCTCCGAAGTTACACTCTTGACAGTGTTGTAATGGGAATTAGGTTTCCACACGTAAACTCTTGGGGGACATGCCCACCACAGTGCCAGTGGACACATTGCAAGCACTGAGGAACACAACTGGAAGGGGCTTTGCTTCTCCTGGTTCTGGCACTCTTCCCTGTCTGCACGTGGCTTCCTTGCCAGCATGAGGATTCTCCGCTGTGATTCTCTGTGGGGAGGATTCTCTGTGCGGAACACCCAACGGCACTTGCCCTCCAGAGTTTTGCAGGTGCCCTCTCAAGTGGTTTTCCCCCAAGTGTCATTATCACCCCAGCAAGTGACTTCCTAGCAAGTGTCCTTGGTTGGCACCCTGCTGCCACACCAGACCTTGGCACCTCAACAAACTTTTCCATCCACACCTTCTTCAAAGAGATGCAAGTCTCAGGTGTGTGGGGAGGGGAAGGGCTCTTCCAAACCTGTTCCTTCCTCAGTTTCTCTCCCAGTCTACAGGTGGTGGTTGCTTCCTACATCTCCTTTTACTGTATTCTTTAGACATTTCTTTCCTCTCTTAGTAGTTAATTCTCTATTACCGGATAATAATTCTTCATCCTGATCATCCTTGTTCAATTCCTGTTATAATTTCTTTCTCCTGAATGGATCCTAAATAATGCCATAATTATTTGCAAAGTTTACAACAGGATGTATATTTTCTAAATCACTAAGAAAATTAAAGACAGGAAATTACAGTCCATTTAGAAAACAGAAATCAGTGAGAAAACATAAAACATGATCACAGCAGACTCCAGCCAGTAATTAACATAAAAGTAAATGGATTAGACCCTATTAAAATGCAAAGTCTCTCTAAAAGGGTTGAAATATAAAATATCAAGATCTGTTGCTATTTGAGAGACAACTAAAAAAGTATATGTAAAAGTTAAAAATAAGGAAATTTAGCAAGCAAGTATAAACAAAAAGAAAAGAAATACTCTTACTATCAAAGAAAGTAAAATTCAAGGCAGAAAATAGAACAAAAACAACTTTAGTAAATCTTTCTTAGAAATTGTACGTAACACAAGTATTATTTACTAAGCCGTATCAAAATATACAAAGCAAAGCTCTTGACAAAATTGAGAGAAATAACACTATTATTCTACGATGTTTATAACACAAAAAGAAAATTAAAATCTCAATAATATAATTAAATTTAGTGATAAATACATATTCACCTCTGTCACAAGCAAACTGAATTCACATTCACTTAAAACATCCATAGAACATGTTTTAAGGATGCTAGGTTCTAAAACTTCAATAAATTCTAAAAAGCAAAAGCAAAATTATATAACCATGTTTTTTCCCCATAATGTAAAAATCCTACAAGTGGCAAAAATTTTTAAAACAAAAAAGCCAAGCACACACAAATTTTTAAGTATTCTTAATTGCTGAATCAAAAATTTAAAACGTAACAATAAACTACTTAGAAAACAAGGCTACTACATATAAAAATGGCTGGGATGTTAACATTTTGAACTTAGGGAAAACTCAAAAGCCTTCAACATAGACAAATGCATACATACAAAAAATAAGCATCACATAAAAAGAGGAAAAAAATCTAGAAAAAAAGCAAATAATATAAGAAATGAATGCATTTTATATCAAAATCACACTGATAAAACATTAGTTTTCTGAAGGGAAAAGGCATATCTTTAACAAGACTAATGAAGTAAAAAAGTGGCAGAACTAAGAGAAAGCAAATTTCTTAAAAGTAGTATAATTAATTGAAAAGAGATTTCTATTAAAACTCTTATTTTAAATCATTTTTTAAAAACAAAAAAAAATTCTGGAAGAGTACAAATTACTAAAATTTAGCAAATAACAAAAGGAGAAATACAATTTAAAACAAAATTTAAAATTTTATAAAGTTGCTTAAACTTAAAAATGGGTAGCATACTAGTAATCATGAAACTGACAATTATTGAGAAATCATTTCCAAACAGGGCTCTGAACTCAAATTTCACAAGCACACTCTTTGAATCTTTCTTGGATCAAGTCATTCCCAGCTGTAACTGCTTAATGCACAGAAAAATACATACAACCCTCCTATTTACTTTGCAGAGCTAGCAAAATCCCAATGTCATTATTTGTCCAATAGCCCAAAACACCTATTTCACCTATATAAACATGTAAACTTCCCTGAATAATAGATAAGTCAGTCAAATTCTAAAAGACCAACAGGACAGTCACATTTTAAGAGAAATGCATTCCCAGGGAGGATCCATGGTTAGATGGCATACTTCAGCTATCACTGTACGATAGTTTTTCTTTGATATTAGTCTTTGTTTTGCTGGCATTAGTTCTAATTTTTCAAAGAGGACCCTTACTCATGGTGGTGGTTTAAATCTCAATCAGATTTAAATTTGGTCCCAGAGTTACTGAGACTTGAACATGTTTTCAACACTAGTTTAACACTAACACTTAATGAGTGCCCAAGAGAAAACATGACCAACATGAAGGTTACAACAGTCAGTAGACTGTCAGCATGGTGCTAGTAAAGAACCCTGGGCATTCCGGAACACTAACAAAGGATGATAGTGTGTCTATTTACCAGAGAAAGGGACACTGCATATGACAAAAGCATAAGTAGCTTATAACTGAGACTGCCCATTTCGAAATTTTGCAATTTGGTGATTTTGGGGTGGGGGGGTGCTCTTAGTATGTGTATTATTTCAAATTTTGAAAACAAAGTGAGTCTTTAATTAGATCAGCTATTTCAAACCCTTATAATTCAAGTCTACACAAATGCAAATAAACAATGAACTGCTTAAAAACAATTTTTAAAAATGAATCTAACTGATTCTAGGAGTAGAGAGTTTAATGTTGCAACATTCATTAATATAAGTCATCAACATACCAAAATGACAAAAACTATATGATCATATTAAATAAATGCCCCCAAAGTCTATTTGATGAGATTCAAGAGTGATTTCTAATTCAAAATCTTTAAGAGTTAAAAACAGAGATACTACCTTTCTATATAAAGAACATCTAACTCAAAAGGCCAACTTAAAACACTATGGATATTCCCATTAAAACCAGAAACAAAACAAGAACATCCACCAACATCATCATTTAACATTGTTCTAAACATATCAGCCAACAAAACATGCAATGAAAATGAAATAAATGCATTAAAGAAATATTATCATTATCCATAAAGGATATTATTTCCTAGAAAAACCAGGAAAAATTTCTAGAAAAAGTAGAACTAAGTGACTAGATACCAGGAAAATATCAATTTATGCTCTAAGACTATAGAAGTATTACCTGGCAAATCTCTCCACCTAGCTCCATCCTCCTACCCCACCCCACCCAGCCTCAACCGGTTTGAGACCCTATTACTATTTGTCTAGTTTACTGAGTAGGACTCCTTAATTAACTGGCTTCCCTATCTTCAACTAAGTGAGACATTATGTAATATGGCCAGAAGTAATGTTTCTAAAAAAAATCTGATCTGTCATTCCTTTCTTTAAAATGTTCTCATAACTTCCCTTTGTACTTAAGACCCAATTTCTTACCATGTCCTTATACATGTGGGCCTATTCAATCATACCATACTAACGCCCCTAGAATGTGCTTTCTCTGAATCTCATGAGGACAGCTCTTTCCAAAGTGGCAATCCCACGTTATCGGAAATGTTAGATTTTTCATGAGATCGCTTTGATAATATCATCCTATTTTAATTTTCCCCATAAAATCTAAAATTTCCTCCATAAAATCTAAAATTCATGATCTGAACATGTTTAGTATTCCTTCCCAACTAATGTCACTGAGAAAAGAACTTTGTTTTAAAAACTGCTCATCTCCAATACTCAAATCACTGACACATAAAGAGTCACCCCAAAAAATATGAATTTCAAATTGTCTGTCATTCTCAACAGACTGTAAGGGCCACAAAACCAGAACCAAGACTACTTTAATCTTTGTTCTATCTCCAAGACTCTAGCACAATACACAGCTGGTGAATGAGTGAGTGAATGAATGGATGAATAAATGAGTGCCTCCTTCCTCCTTCTAGTCCCTAATTTCTAAGATTGAGCAAACTTTTTTCTGAGTCCAACACATAATTTGGCCTATACTGAGCTTGTAAGCAACTAATACTGTACTAAATAATTTTATATGAATTGTTATAAAATTAGATCTTCCTAGTGCTTGCACATGAAATAATTATTTAATGTTTTCATCTCTTATTCTATTCCCCAAATTCTATAGCTGTGTAATTGACCTGTTAAGCCAAATACAGAGCTTTAATAAAATATGACGGCCTTGTTGAAATCAACTTTTAAGATGGCCTTTGTCAAAAACATAATTACAAGAAAATAACAGGTCAAGGAAAATTAAACCTTTCAAGTTATAATCCATACACTGTCTAAGTAGCTGACAAAGAGGCCTTCCCTAAAGTGACACTGAAAAAAAAAATTCTGAGGTATTAAGAATTTAATCTAGTCAGTGTAGAGAAATGACCACTCTATGCTCTATATAGGGTTGCCTCTTGAGGATTGAAGACACTGGATTGTCATTCTGGTTACCTATGACTTACTCATTAAATGTGACACAGAGTACAAAGTTGCTGATTTGTGGTAACTCTAATTACTTCAAACAAAAGGCTACATTCTCAATTTTTTATATTTTATTTTTATTCAAGGGTTTACTCACAGGCAGCAATTTAGAGTCAGGCTTTTTAAATTAAAAGGCCAAAACTAAAAATTCTTGCAAACATGACACTGATAAAAGAATGATCATCTTAATAATTTAAACCCTTATCCGTCCTGGTGCATTAAAAGTCTTTAACATAGAACGTAAGATCGATATCATTTAAAATAAACAACCAAAAAACCACAGATGGTGGGTAAATTTGTCAATGAAGATAAACATCAGTTTCAGCTTTGCAGAGTATGAAAACCAGCAATTAATTTGTCCTGTGACAGAATATAAACTGTGCTTCAGAATTTTGACTGTAAAGTCTCCTTCTCCAGCAGTAAATCAGCATATCTATGCTGAAGCTCTTTCTCTCTGTCCTGTTGTCGCTGCACATCTTCTTTTAGGCACTTGAAGAGATAAAAACATTAAATAATTATTTTATGTGTAAGTACACTGAAAAGTAAAGACATCTGATGCTACTTTGTCATCTTAGCAACAGCTGGGAGGCACACATTCCCCAAAGAGAAACAAACAGAGCAAATACTTTCACTGTAAAACCAGTATTACAGCCATACTTTGCTTTGGTTTTATGATTACCACCTTGTAAAATATCTGCAACCCGGAATAAACAAACCAGTACTGACCTATAATGCACTAAAATAAATAAATGCACTAAAATAAGCCCTGACTGTCCTTTTAACTGGGCAGGAACTGTCATGCACACTTAGGAGATAAATCTAAACCACACCTGGCCATTTGATGTTCTGGAATAACTAGCTAGGTTCCCAGCATCCCAAGTTATAAAACAAAAGGGCACTGCTTTAGCTGCTCCTCATAGAGCAAATGGGATGCAATTAAACTGTAGGGGGACAAATCACAAGAATCAGTTATTCCATATTTTCTCTTGTGTGCAGAAGCTAAAGAGAAAAAAGGAACAAAAAGGGGATCTCATGAAAATAGAAAGAAGAACAGTAAGATCAAGAAAGGGGATCAGAGGAGGGATAGGGGAAGCACTGAGGGTGGTATTGAGCAAATTATATGTATGTATGAATGTGTCACAATGAATCACACTATTCTATACAATTATAATGAACAATAAAAACACTAAAAAAGAGTTTTTTCCATTTCACAGTGTGTCAACACATAAGAGAGAAAAATAAGAATGTCCTTGGAGCCATCATTTTCCTGGTCTAGCCATCTACACATAGGCAGGTCTAAAATAAAAAATCAAAAAGGGGAGACTCTTCTTGAAAAAGGCCTGCCTTTTTATATTGTTATCTGGCCAAATTATATTGTTATCTTGAGTGCATGAACGAAAATCTAACAACAAACTCCACCATTATGTACAACTATAATGTACCAATAAAAATGTGAGAACACATAAATTAAAAAAAAAAAAAAAAGGAAAGAAAGAAAAAGAGCTGACAATACCAACTTCAGATACCCTGCATAAGAGAAAGTAAAAGGAAAGCTCTGATAATTCTTTTCAATTGTCCTTCTAAGCAATGTTTTGAGGCAAAACGAAATATTACCTCTAGCCTCCGGGGAATAGCAGAATCTTCATGTTTTTTGAGTTCTTCAAAAGTGCGTAACTCTAAGTGAGCCTGCTCAATTTGGTCCCACAAGTCATTCAACTGTTTCATGAGCCCCATAGCACGAGACTGGTAACCTCCAAGCAAAATTTTCATCTTCTTTTCCATTTTTGCAGCTCTCTTAGCTTCCGTCGTCATGTGACCCCTGTTTATCTGAGGAAGGGGGAGATACATAGACATACATTTAAATAATAGTCAAAATAGTACCACTGATTCATCTATGTGCCTCAAAACACACTAGAGCTCCTTATATCTCAACTACTATAACACAGAATTAGGAAGAATTTATCTTGCACCTGGTGAGTTTTCCAGGTTAGTCCTAAATAATCTATTATCTTTTTTTTTAATATTGATTTAGATGTTGATGGACCTTTATTTTATTCATTTATTTATATGCCGTGCTGAGAATGGAACCTAAGCTAGGCAAGCGCTCTACCACTGAGCCATAAGTCCATCCCAATCTACTATATTTTATAATAACTTCACCCATCTCAAAGCAGGCTTGATTTTCACAGTATGGGAATACTCCTATCTAATTTCTGAAAATGGCTTCTGCTATTGTTTTGTTTCTGTATCGATTTTGGACTGGCAGCAAGCAGCCCATGTTCATCATTTATATCTCAAAAATGCACTTCTAAGCTGGGCATGATGGCACATGCCTGTAATCCCAGTGACACGGGAAACTGAGACAGGAGGATGGTGAGTTAAAGCCAGCCTCAGCAACTTATCAAGGCCCTAAGCAACTCAATGAGACCCTGTCTCTACATAAAATATGAAAAAGGCCTGAGGATATGGTTCAGTGGTCGAGTGCCCCTGAGTTCAATCCCTGTACCCAAAAAAAATGCACTTCTGTATTATATATGTACAGTCTGTTTTTAGTAAGTGGATAATATGTCATCCAATTAATATACCAAGTTAGAACCAAATATAAAATCCCCTCAAACTACTACATCCTAATTCTGGCATAAAATTCATAAAAGGAAAAGGAAATCAATGACACAATTTTTAATTTGAGAAGTTAAAAGATAAAATAAAATTAAGAGAAATGAGTGCTTTACTATTAAATATGTACATGGAACAAAGTTGGTACCTTCTCAGATCACTCTAAATTAAGGGAAAAATTAAAATATAAAAATTCACAAAAGAACAAAGAAGAGACAACAATTAACAGAGGAAACATTTCAACAAAATTCTGGAGCATGTATACTGATACAGGACAGCAGAGAAAGCCCCAGCTCAGAAAAGGGATGAGAAGAAGCAGGGGTATAATGCAAAATCCCATAAGCACAATATCATCTCTAGGAACAGAGTCTACATCCCCACAATATTATCACTTCACATTTTAAAGTGATCTGCAATTATGAGGTCAAAGCCTTAGGAATAATTACTAAAGCTGTGTTAATTTCTCTGGGTCTGTCAGCTTCTCCCCTACCACTACCACCACCTCCTTCTCTCTTTCTCTCTCTCTCTCTCTGAAATTGATTCCATCAAGTGATTTCTATAAGAAACCAGAACTAGGTAGTTTCAGGATAATCTATACCCAAATGATACTCTGCAATGTGTAGTACAAAATTATGTATCTAAGAGCACCTTAAGAGAAGGAAGACAATGTGATAATACAAATATTATTCTTCCTTTTTCTTTAAACTATTTTTTAGTTGTAGTTAGACACATATATTTATTTTATTTACTTATTTTTATGTGGTGCTGAAGATCAAACCCAGCGCCTCGCACGTGCTAGGCAAGCGCTCTACCACTGAGTACAGCCGCAGCCCCCAAATATTATTTTTTCTCAGATATTAAATGTGGGGTGGGAAAACATGGTATGCAGAAATGGCACCATGGAGAAAAATACTGTCAAATGCAAAATGCTGACATAAAAATCATACCTAGGATATTTTGTAAGTGTTAGAAACAATAAAAATCACCAGAACAAACACTTAATTTTCGATGACAACAACTCTGAAACATCCACTTCAATGCCTAACATCTGATTTCAAAACAAACAGGTACAATCTCAGCGCCTTATGATCAGAATATGCAAAAAAAAAAAGTCAAAGTATTGTATTTCTGGAAAAGTAGCACTTCATACCTATCCATCTCTACCTTAGTCAAAGTAAAATAGGGGAGGAGGATGGCATTGCAGGCATATGCCTTAGGAACATGAGATGGATCTAAAATTGAATAAACCTCCTTTAAAATCACTTATTTCTTCAGCATTTTATAAAAGTTTTTATTCTTCTTCAATTGAAAAGTAAATCCATGTAAACTGTTAATATCATTTATAAAGAACCCATTGTCCTCAAATAGATAATAAATCAAAGTTAAGTTCTATGGCCCAATATGTCTTCTAGAAGTGTCATCAAATACTGGTGAAGGTAGGCAGCATGGTATAGCAGATAAAAGATGCACTCTTCCTACCCAGCAGGGCCACCCAGCTTTTTTGAGCTGATGCAAGTTATTTAACCTCTGTGTATGCATTTCTCTCTCAGTAGTAAAATGGCAGTCATTGCTAAAAGTTATTATGAAGTTTAAATCAAATAATATATATAAAAACCCTTGGCCACGCACGATCTGGTATGGAATGAGCAGTCAACAAATGTTCACTCTGATTACAATTATTATTTTACAGATACTATTAAGTTCAACCATTTTGCTCTCCTCTAATGACTAAGGGATTACAGAGGAGATTTTAAAATCTTCTTTAAATTCCTTCCAACTTTAATAAGAGACTTTGTGGACCCCTCCTGGAAATAAAACAAGAACAGCTGTTCCTTCTTTTTAAGTGGGAAGTCTGCCTTTTGAGAAATGCCAGATCAAATAACATATACAAGACCTCGGTCCTACACAGTGATATTATTAGAACATGGAACTTGAGGTGTTCTTCAACTCTACAGGAAGATTTTCTAACCCTAAAGTTCAAATGAGGTGAAGAAAGTATCCAAGTACACTGACCCAGCAATTTTGCTCCACATACACCAAGAGAACTGAAAACATGCCCACACAAAAACCTCAACCCCACTGTTCATAAGCAACACTATTCATAGTAGCCAAAAGGTAGAAACAACCCAAATATCTATCAACTGATAAATGGATGAACAAAATGTGGCATTGGCTATACAATGAAATATTATTCAACCATAAGAAGAAATGAAGTATTAATACACGCTGCAACATGGATAAACCTCGAAAACATCATGTTTAGTGAAAAAAGCCAGCCACGAAAGACAATTAGATGATTACACTTATATGAAATGTCCAGAAGAATGTGTAATCAGCAGTGGATTGTAAGTACCCGAGGCAAAGAAAGCTCAGTGAGCCCCGCCTTTTTTTTTCTTTTTTTTTTTGAATATTTTTTATACAGGGAGAGTTTGTGGATTGGGATTGTTGGCGGGGCTGTGGTTTCTGTGCCGAAAATCCACTCCGCGGGAGCCGCCATTTGCTTTCTGCTTGCTGTCTTGATGGCTCTGTATACACTGTCCGGCAGCCGCACCTAGAGGTTGGAGCTGGGCTGCGTGCCGAGCCCTGTCCTCTGAAGGCTGGACTGCAGCCTCGAGCGTCTCTGTGGCCTGTTCGCCGCTGCACCTTCGGGCAGAGCCTGCTCTGGGGTCGTTCTGCACCCCCCTGCCAGGGGACCCGTGGTCCGGAGGAGGGGGACGGAGAGCCGCGGCGGCAGCCACTTGGGCCCCTGGGGCCTGGCACCGGGCTGAAGAGCTGCGGAGGCCAGGGCGGCTCTGCTACGGTCGCAGACAAGCGCGACGCTCGTCAGCGCGGCCCAGAGACGGAGGCGACGGCGGCAGGGTTTCATTTCTAGAAATCTGGACTGGAAACAGAAGCAGCAGTTTGTATAATCCCAAGAACTTGCTTATACCAGGAAGCTGTAAGGGCAACATGAATATCATTGAGGAGATGTAACATGGTGGCAGGCGCAGAGAGATCAAGTCTCTGACATCTTCAACTGCGCAGGCATAGGGAGCCGTAAACTGTCTAAATGCTGTTTGCTCAGGATCACTAGGCAATGCTGAGCTGACGTGGATCTGGGGTGTACAGGCTGGGCCCCTCAGAACACACACACAGAGCCCGAATCGGAGGCAATTAAGCTCCGGTTCGCCTGCTTCGTGTGACTCAGCACTAACGATCCCGCTGAAATAATTGGCCGGCCCTTAGGAACTTACAGAGGTAAAAGCCAACCGAGCCTTCATAGGCAGTGGCCACAGGACTGAAACGGGGATTGGGAGAGACAGTCAGGACCCACCCGTTGCATTGGTCACCCGGCAAAGGGAACAAACGGTCACGATTTGCATGGGATATCACCATGGCAGAGAAATGGCGTCACGGGCGGAGGAGATAACTGCATTGAAACCAGCGCGACAGGTGTGTAATCCCCTAGCCATCTCTCTCCACACAGCGGGGAAACCTTAAGGGCCATTCCCAGCTCTCCTGTGAACGCAATAACCAGACCGAGGGAATCAGGAGTGGCGCGGACTCGCGGCGCGGAACTCCCGGCTACCGCTCCCACCAGTGCTGACAACTGAGGTCTCTTGCACCAGCTACCGGGGGCGTGGCTACAGGAGGGCAAGCAAATTCGCTGGGGGATCTCAGCCCCAAGCTCTACAAACTTAGGGTCTGAGGGAGGCAAACAGGGAGAGTGAGCCCAGGTGTTCATGAAAACAGGGCTCCCAGGAGCAGCAGACCTGGCGTGTAGCCAGTATTGTGGTGAGCGCCACAGGTGAGCACGGCCTGGCTTGAGGAAACACAAGACAAGGCCCTAGACACTCAGGATTGGAGACCCGCCCAGTCTAGGAGAAAGAGCTGCTGCACAGTGAATGGTTCCCACCTATTGAGAGGAGAAGCTTGGCCCAGTGGGCACAGCTCCACCTACTGGAAGAGAAGTTAATAGAACTCTAGGACTGCATTTATTATTATTATTATTATCATTTTTTTTTCTTTTCTTTTTCTTTTTTTTTCTTCTTTTTCTTTCATTTTCAATTTTTATTTGTTGTTGTTCTTTAATTTTTTTTCAATGTTTCTATTTTTTTAAATTTTTTTTTATTTTATTATTATTTTTTTTTTATTTTCATTTTCATTTTTTATTATCACTATTATTTTTGTTAAAATTTTTTTTCGTCTTTTCTTTCTTTCTTTATTATCTA